TAGTAATAGTAGTAGTAGTAGTAGTAGTAATAGTGATAGTAGTAGTAGTAGTAGTAGTAGTAGTAATAGTGATAGTAGTAGTAGTAGTAGTAGTAGTAGTAGTAGTAGTAGTGGTAGTAGTAGCAGTAGTAGTTCTTGTGGCTACATTTAATGCAAAAGCATTAGCAGCACCAGCAACAGCAACAGCAGCAGCATTAGCAGCAGCAGTGCCAGCAACAGTGCGATTACTCGTCGTGTTGGTCATAGTTATACGAGAACAGGAGTATACTCCAGATAGCAATGTCAAACACCAGGTCTGGAGATACGGACAAAAAATCGCGAAAAAATGGACCCACACTTAAGAACACACAGCGGAGCTTCAAGCTGACACGCAATCCGAGCTGTCTGGTCACAAACCTGCAGCAATGAATCATAGGTTGCCGGTCATGGCTTGTCTGTATGCCATCGAAACCCAGCTTCCTAACTCATTGATTCAGCTTCCGCAAGCGTCGCGAGGCAATAGCGGCAATTCGATCCTGAATGGGGTGCGTTTATCTTCTTTTTTCACCTAGAACAGTTCAGAATTTCAGAACATGTGAATTTGGAACTGCAACTTTATCGATTGGTATGGCTTAGAGCTGATTTGGAATGGTTCACTCCATCCATCTCTCTGACCAAGGCACGCTTCGAAGATCAAGGAGAAGTCATGCACCTGTCATGAACCACTACAGAGAGTTAGCCTTGCATACCAGCAAAAGGGCTTCAAAGTCCATCATAGAAGTCCCGGGCATGCGTGCTAAAGTGGTTTCACACACTGCTTCTCTCTCGGCCGGACCGTGCTGACGGTCGCCATGGCTTCCTCGTAAATGTCACGGGCTTTCTCGAACTGGCCGAGCCTGCCATGAGGAGATCAAACTGACTAGTTCCAAGCAAGAAGGCGTGTGTGACTCCACTCTGTGGCTGCGCAAAGGCTCTAATGTCTTCATCATGCGCTTGAACGTACAATTCTGTGTGTGTGCCCTTCCTGATGAAGTGATCTCCGAGAGAAATCCACAATCGCCCAACCTCGTCAGGTGTACCGACTTCAGAACGTCATGACTGTGAAACACCAGCAACACCCCCGCGGTCCCCACATGCATTTGCCAGGTGCCTCATCAGTAAACTGCCGAATTCCGCTGCGGATGATTGACCTGTGAACAAGTCCACCTAGATTCAGACTTGGGGAATTTGGCTTAGGCAGCTGCTCGATGTTTAGAGACTTGATGTCAGCAGGATGCTTGGAGACCTCAAGAACTATCAGGTCAGAAGAGACTTGTGCAGTGGCAACTTCAGGCAACTCAGGTGACTACAAGGTCGCAGAGATCCATCCAAAGCTGATGACGAGTCTTTCCCTCCATGGAGCTGAAGTCCTGCGGTTGCGAGGCCACGGATTTGCTCAAAGCCCGGCAGGCACCGGGCCGAGCAGCACGGAGAGTGCCTCATCATCCACCACACTGGCGAGCTTCTGTGCAGCCTCGTCATAACGCCTGCGCAGCATGTGCTGTCACTGCCGAATTGCAGCTTTTCAAGACCGGGAAGCGCACCCAATTGTCCGCAAGTAGGCGATGTAGATCTGCAACAGGTCTCTGCCGGAGAACTACGAAGTGGCGGAGTTGCACATCTGAACCGGCTGTCGCCTCGACATGATCAGGCTCCAACATGAGGTACCGCCTGAAAGCACAGAGTGCCGTCTCCTGCGGGGCTGCTCGAAACCTGATGCCTCAGCATAGACTTTGCTTTAAAAAGTAAAGTCCCAGCTTGTTAATACTCTAGCAAGATTATGCGGAACTTATATGGCTGATAAATTAAAAGACAACTAATATTGCGTACGGTTATTATTTTACATTCAATATTCTGCTATGGCACTGGCTAGTATTTTTTACCATACAATCTTTCAGCATATTATTTACAGCTTGTGATGTGCCATTCTAGTCTGTTCGATACTGTCTTATGCTATATTGGTTGTGTTATATTGTTATATTATTTTTTGTTCGGTCATGTTTCATCATGATATGTTGAAATGCACCAACCTATGTCATACCATGCCTTCGAGTAGATTTCAATTTATTACGTTAAATAACATAACCAATATAGCCTAAGGCAGTATCAAACAGACTAGAATTGCGCATCACGTGCTGTATATAATATGCTATAAGGTTGTATGGTACAAATACTATTCAGTGCCATGGCAGAACAGACACGAATGTTAACACTATTGAATGTAAGACTAATAACCGTAAGTAATACTAGTTGCCTCTTAATATATCATCCTTCAAACCTCTGCATAATCTTGCTATAGTATTCATCTAGTCAGCAATACTAGTCTTCTTTGTATAACATTAGACGAAACTGTAACATATTTCGGAGTATTAGCAAATTGGAATTTACTCTTGATTCAAAGATGGCAAAATCTCAATATACAAATCATATTGAGTGAATATCAAAACAAGATAGAACAGCACAGTTTTTTTCTGATAGACCTCATTTAACCTAATCGAATTATGAATCTAATTCATGTCAATGCCGTATGTTGCCCAGGCTACACCGCATTCGGCTTTCCAACTGTTTGTGGCTGCGAAGCCCACTTGTACGTAAAGACTTGGCCCTCCAGCCCTCCCCCCGAACACTCCGAGCTCCCCACAGCCCCGTGCACCCCACCTAGACCTGCACCCCACCCAGACCAAAACAAAAAAAAACACAAACAAACAACAAACATGTCAGAAAATGGGTAAGTGCGCATGCCAACTCCGTGCACCTTCTGCTGAAAGATGCACACATCCCGAAGACCGCTTCAGAAATCAAGTGCAATCTCAAAGCGAGCCCATGATGGCATCTTTCTCCTTGGGCACTTCTCCATCCTTGATGAACTTCACGTACAGCTCCTACGGCGGCCCGGCGGCTGCATTTGCCAGCTTGAGATGACAACATCCTTGAATCTAAGGGCCGACCCATATTCGCGAATGCTGCGTGATGGGTAGCGACCGCAATGCCTGACGCAATCATCACACGCCTGCTGCAGTCGCATGTGTTGGCACGAAATCTTGGCCGGCAGAGTCCCACACACTGTCTAGCGCACGCCGTGCACGTGTTATCTTCTTCTGCTTCATCAAGAACTCGATGTACTCTAGCCTCAATATTCCGCATCTTCAAGGGTGGAACCAGGGAAGCGAAAACTACACGGCCGAGGCTATTGGCGAAACTGGCTCCAAGCACCATCACATCCAAACACATCAGCAACGGAAATCAAGCAGAGCTGACGAGGCGGGCTCCAAGCAATAGCATCCATCAGCAACGGAGGGAATTCAAAGCTGGCGACGCGGGCTCCAGGCATCCCCACATGCGACCACAACCGCATCAGCAACGTACGGCAAACAAATATGGCATCAGCACATCCAACCATATCAACAAATCAGCAACAGTGTGAGGGGGGAAGGTGGGAGCGGGTGGGAGGAGGGGAGGGGGAGGGGGGGGGAGCGACGGAGGGGGGGGAGGGGGAGAAACGCTGAATGCTACACATCCAGGTGCCTGTCTGATTCACGTATCGCAATCAATATATATATATATATATATATATATATATCCATGCCTGTTGCTCAATGTTCTAGCAGAGTACTGATCTACAGCTG